GTGTGAATCCTTTAAAAATAATCCTTTTTTCTCTGGCTGCTTTCAGGATTTTTTCTTTGTCTTTGATTTTCTTCAGTTTCACTGCAATATATTTAGGTCTGATTTTCAAAAAAAAAAATTATGCCATTTGACTTTCACTGGCCTTTTGAACTGTGAACTGATATCTTTAATTCCAAACAAAATTCTTAGCCATCATCTTTTTGTAGGAAAAGATCGCCAGGGACAGACCTGTGTTACTTATAGTTAAATGATCACAAGCTTGCTTCGCTTTTTATACCCTGAGATTTGTGCCATGGATCAAATATTGAATTAAAGAAAACTGCAAACTGTGGTGGAGTAAAATAAAAATTGTTTAAGATCTGTAAAAGCAGAAATCAATTGGTAACAGGAGGCCTATGGTGAAGACGATCTGAGAGAACTTTATAACTGCAGAATGCTGTGGTGTGGTTGCAAGGCAGCAAAGACTACTTTGGTCTAGGATCTCTTCCCAGCATAGGGTTTGCTTGAGGGTCTCGTAAAGAGGGCTTGTGCAAGAACTCTGGAAAGGAATGTAAACCTCTGCTCACAAGACTCAGGAGGGTCTTTGCAAATGGGAGCTTGGGAAGCCGGAAAGCCTTGCAGGGCAGAGATAACTGGAACGCCACAGGCTCTGCCTATGTTCTCAGAATGTGGAGTAATTCTGATTGCTCTGTGTCCACAATGCTCCGGAGATAAAAGCCCCTTGATACATTGTGTGTGGTCATACAGTATGGCGCCTTATCCACTGTGCCTCTTTGCAGGTGCACCTGGATAGACAACGGGTGGTAAAACTCGGTGTACTTAGCACTTCTTAAAAGAACCGCATTTGCTATTGAATGCTGCAGACACTTGCTCTTCCCCCCACCCCCATCTTCCTTCTCAACCGGCCTCCCCACAGCCTGCAAGATTAACAAGATAATATAACTAATAAAAGCCTGTGGAGCCCAGAGCCAATGCAGTTCACCCCGAGAGAGAGTGCATTGGCTCTCTGGACCCATGCTGTTGAATTCTACTTGTCTTTGTCTTACTTCTTTTCTCACTCCCTAGTCACCACCGGGACTCAGGGCACCCCTGTACAGGGCTGGGCTGGTTCCCAACACTTTTGAAATACTGTCTTTGCTTCGTTATCTCTTTCCTCTCCGTTTGAGTTTCCAATTCAATACTTTTAGAACTTCTCACTTTATCTTCCTTGTATCTTATCCGCTGTATTTTCTCATATATTTTTATTTCTTCATACTGCCTTTTGTAGTTTCTGAATTACCTTCCATTTCACTAATTTTTTGTAAAATGTAATAAAATTATTTTATTAAAGATATTTTGAGTTGTTTATAATTTTTGCTATTTCTTTTTTGTGAAAAATGCTTTTATTCTGCAGAATTCAGTGAACAAATTAAACTACTATGAAGAGAGATATTCCAGGTAGGAAATTTTTCATAAAATTCCTAAATTTGGGATACTCATTTCTAAAAATGTGACCAAGTATTTGCACTGAAAACATAGTAACAACTAAATTGCCAATTTTAAATTTCTGTCATAAATCAAGACCTTAATCTAATTTTCAGGAGTTCTATACACTTTTTTTCCTAAGATTTGTTGGCACATGTTTTTGAAGCAAACATAGCAATCGGGAGGTAATCTGCCCATTTTTATATTCCACATTAAATGCTGAATTTTCACCTGAGCATTATTATTTTGTTATGACTAGATTTTACAATCGTCATTGTGTAATAAATGCTTTGAAATTGATTCCAACAACAGATAGAATGTCTTTTATATTTTTATCTTTTTTAAAAACACTATAAAAATAGATTTTTAACTATTAGGAAAAAATACTTTTTCTCCATACCTCTTCTCATCTTGGGCATAGACATACATAATTTTTACATAGTTTTAATCAGGAACACGTATACTCTTTTTGTTTTCCATTTTTTCACTTAGCATAATTTCATAAATTTTGCTTCATATATTCATAATTTCCAGATGACTAAATTCTAGCAAAAAATTGGCATGAGCCAGATTGTCAGCATGCCCTCATAATTATTGTCTTAATAGCGACATAATATTCTAACACATTATATACCACAATTTAATTAGACATTTGTGATTAGTGAACATTTGTACTGATTTCTATTTTCTATTATAAATAACACTGCAGTATGTATATATATATATATATATATATATACACACACACACACACATATAGACATATATATGTATAATATATATACATAAATATATGCATATATATACATATATATGTATAATATATATACATAAATATATGCATATATATACATATATATGTATAATATGTATACATATATATACTCATCATCTTTGGAGTATTTATTATTATTATACTTAAAGTTCTAAGGTACAAGTGCAGAATGTGCAGGTTTGTTACATAGGTATACATGTGCCATGGTGGTTTGCCACACCTATCAACCTGTGATCTACATTGGTAATTTCAGCTAATGCTATCCCTCCCCAAGATCCCTACTCACTGACAGGCCCCAGTGGGTGATGTTTCCCTCCTTGTGTCCATGTGTTCTCATTGTTCAACTCCCACTAATAAGTGAGAATATGTGGTGTTTGGTTTTCTGTTCTCGTGTTAGTTTGCTGAGAATCATGGTTTCCAGCTTCATCCATGTCACTGCAAAGGGCATGAACTCATCCTTTGTTATGGCTGCATAGTATTCCATGGTGTGTACGTGCCAGATTTTCTTTATCCAGTCTGTCATTGACGGGCATTTAGGTTGGTTCCAAGTGTTTGTTATTGTGAATAGTGCAGCAGTAAACATATGTGTGCATGTGTCTTTATAGTAGAATGGTTTATAATCCTTTGGGCATATACCCACTAATGGAATTGCTAGTTCTAGATCCTTCAGGAGTTGCCACACTGTCTTCCACAATGGTTGAACTAATTTACACTCTCACCAACAGTGTAAAAGCTTTCCTATTTCTCCACATGCTCTCTAGCATCTGTTGTTTCCCAAGTTTTTAATGATCGCCATTCTAACTGGCGTGAGATGGTATCTCAGTGTGGTTTTGATTTGCATTTCACTAATGACCAGTGATGTTGAGCTTTTTTTCATATGTTTGTTGGCTGCATTTCTATAAGTCCTAGAATGTGGTTCTTCTCAAATTTTTTAAAGATTTTATTGATTTTCTATTTTCTACATATAGCTTCAACCTAATTCATTTGTTTCTTTAAATATACTATGTATAATTTGTTCATAGTTTCTATCTGATGATTCCTAGTGTCTGAAATTTTTGTAGGCCTATTTCCATTTTTCTTGTATCTGCTGGTTCCAACGCATGGAGTTTTATTTCCCTCCATTGCATCATTATGTTCTGGTTATGTGCTTTATAAGAAATGTTGAAAATTTTGAAACTTTGGATGCAAGTACCGTTATCCAAAAAGAAATGAGTTTCTTATGCCAAGTATCTCAGGGTATAACCAGTCAATCATTATCGAATTCAAGGTTTGAAGTTATTTGCAAGACATAGGTAATTCCAGCATGATATTCAGCGCCGAACTAGGCTAATCTACTTCCAATTTATTTGCCTTCTTGAAGGCATAGCTCTTTGAGTATTAGCGTATTTGGGGGAGGGGTTTTCTCTTTGGTTTAAGCCAATTAACATATGAAAAGGTGTTCAACACCATCCGTATTTAAGAGTATTCCAATTAAAGTTGCAATGAGTTTTCACTTATCAGATTGTTACATTTCACTCAAAGTTTAAAAGTTAACATGAGTGCATATCTTTTATTGGAAAGGATTTACATGAAAATATTGACAGTTCTTATCTCTAAAAAGCAGACCTGGATTTCGGTGAAGGGGAGAAATATATTTTATAATTTTTAATTTTGAAATTTTGACTATATAAGTTTTTTAAAATAAAAATTTTAGAGTCAAATGCCTAGATTCTTACTTTTTCTTTCTTTGAGGAAAGTTTTTTCTGCATCCAAAGTTATGGAGCCTAAAGAACATTTAAAATGTATAAAGAGTTGTTGACTTCCTGGATGACTGGCTCATACAATAGTGAATGGAGCAGAAATGTCTGCCAAAAAATAAAATGCAAGTAATGATGCTTTAAAACTTTAGCAACACAGATCAACAAAGCATTCGTAGTGTTTCAATATTTATTTTTTCTATGTGATGTCAGAGTAATGCACCTACTGTGACATTGCAGAGATCAAATCGAAATAGTTTATAGGTTTGTGTCTTCTTGAAACTCACTTGTATACTTAGAATCAAGGTAATTGGTGCATCCTGCATAAAGTCAAGGGCTTAAATTGCCATACTGAATGAAGATGTTCCTAATATTTAAAAAACTTTAAATTTAAATACGATTTTTGTCTATTTTTGTTTTCTTTTTATATAGCCACTACCAAGGCATGTCAGGGGTGTGTGTGTGTGTGTGTGTGTGTGTGTGTGTGCACGTGCACACGTGTGTGTGTGAGTGTGTGTGGTTTCTTTTAGTTTTCTATTTTTGAAGTTACTGAATTTTCCCTCCTGATCTCTATTCTCAAATGGACTTAAATTTTCTCATGCTGAGTAGCTCTTCTCAAGTATACTTGGTACAGCATTTTAAGAACCCACAAATCAAGCTCATGCATGAGCTAAAGATGAGGCATAGAGTAAAATTCTAGAACTCGATTGCCCTCCTGGTCAGGCTGTAGGATTGAAAGCTATTTTCAAAGAAGAAAAAGTTTTGGAGTGCCCACAGCACCAATTCATATTTTATATATTTCTTACAATGACCAGCAAGATAGCTTCATTTTTCTATAACTGCACCAAGCATAATATTTAAGTTTACTGATTATATCTGATCTCTGGACTGATGGAGATTCAGTGGAAAGAATGAAATCCTGATGCTTATGCTATTTGGCCTAAATTCAGCTTGAAAAAAAGATAGCCTAGGAATGTCATTCTAGAATAAATCTTGAAGTTTGTTTGTGCTTTGTTAATTCCTAGGTGAAAAGGTGTTCGTAACTCTCTATGGAGCTGCCATAGACATGAATATAAGGCTGGATAAGAATTCTCTGACCATCGAGAAAACCTATATATCTCTGGCCAATCAGCGAACTATAACCATTCACAACCGCAGTAATATCATTGCCCATTTCCTGTGGAAGGTATTTGCTACCCAGCAAGAAGAGGACAGAGAAAAGTATAGGTTTGTAACAAAAATCACCTATATGCAGTAATTTGCAGTGGGGGAATGTAAAACTCAGTTATTATGAAAAACCAGTAAATTTTGTACTATGTTTTTAGCCAACTCAACCAATGTCACATTTTTCTAACTTGGTTCTGGTGTAAGATCCTCTTTTGAAACTGTTCATTTGAACAACGTGAACTGAGCTATGTGGAACAGAATAGCCATCCTGGGTTAATGTAACTTGGTTATAGTTTAGCAGTAATGGAATGCCTAGATTTTGAAGACCAAACCTATCATTCTTCATTTCAAATCAAATCCACCTCTCTCTATTACTTTTCATAAGCCTAACCAGGTTGATCAGGTGTTCTTTGTTTTGTTTGTTTGTTTGTTTGTTTTGAGGCAGAATCTTATACTGTCAACTGGGCTGGTGTGCAGTGGTGGGATCTCAGCTCACAGTAACCTCTCCCTCCTGGCTTCAAGCAATTCTCCTGCCTCAGCCTCCCAAGTAGCTAAGATTATAGGTGCCTGCCACCATGCTCAGCTAATTTTTTGTAATTTTAGTAGAGACAGGGTTTCACTATGTTAGCCAGGCTGGTCTTGAACTCCTGGTCTTGTGATCTGCCCACCTTGGCCTCCCAAAGTGCTGGGATTACAGGCATGAGCCATGGTGCCTGGCCAGGTTGATCAGCTTTTATAAAGAGTTCCTAAAAATAATCTATTTGGATTGGCATCAATGTGGGATTTTTTTTAGTAAAAAGATACTTCTAGAAAATATGAAGAATGAGGAAATAGAAGGGCTTAGATATAATGGCTTTTATAGTCTCAGTTTTAGTAGCATCATTGCTTAGTCCCTGCAAACTATATAATTTAATAATGATTTCTCACTGGCATCTTTAATATTTTGCTTTTTAAAATTACATCACGCAGTGGAAAAAATTAATAAAATGTAAAACCAAATGGTTCTAGCTAATCTCATCACTGTTAAATTTTGAAGATTTCTTTTTACTGAATCCATGCTTGCCTCTTTTAAGCTCCACTTTCTTTTTTATCTCCTTCCAACCTCTCTGAATTAACTCTTTTGCTGCTTTCATTGGAATTTATTTCAGCCTTTTTTATTTGCCTCTCCATTTTCATTAAAGATTAGCCCTGGGAAGCTTCAAAGCTTTGTTTAAAACCAAGTTCAGGGTGATAAAAATAAGTCTTAGGTCTGTGGAAACCAGGAAGAACCCCCCCCATCCCTCACCCCCCCGCAGTGTGCCGTCCCTAATTGAATCAGAAACCATGACAATGACAGGACACAGTGGGCCAGAAGCTCTGTCATCCAGACAATGAGCTTTAATCACTGAATTGCCACTGTGCTGTCTTTTAAAAAAAATGAGGAAAGAAAAACCACTTATGCCTAAAAACTTCCTTTGGCCTTATAGCATAGAAACAGCTGTGGTTTTAAAAGGTACAAGGAAAAGGATCCGCTACTGCTTCCTTTGTCCTGGTTCCCCAGGTCATGTGTGCTCACCAGCAATCAAAATGACCCAACATGCTTGAAGGGAAAGTGGGAGAGGAGATCCAGGTAAAGAAAGTGAAACAGTGGCCAGGCGCGGCGGCTCACGCCTGCAATCCCAGCAGTTTGGGAGGCTGAGGCAGGTGGATCACCTGAGGTCAGGAATTCGAGGCCAGCCTGGCCACAATAGTGAATCCCTGTCTCTACTAAAGATACAAAAATTAGCTGGGCATGGTGGCGTACACTTGTAATCCCAGCTGCCCAGAAGGCTGAGGCAGGAGAATCACTGGAATTCCGGGGACAGAGGCTGCAGTGAGCCAAGATTCCGCCATTGCACTCCAGCCTGGATGACAGAGCAAAGCTCTGTCTAAAAAGAAAGTGAAAGAGCAAAGTAGTGTTTCAGTATCATTCTTGTTCTATGGGCATAACCCTTTGTGGTGAAGAATACACATTGTAAGAGGGAGGGAAAGCCAGCTTTAATTTCAGCCCTGTCTGTGTGTTTGACTCTATGATTAGTATGTGATTGATGCCATGCCAGTGCCCAAAAGGTATGTTAGGAGGTTAATTTCAGCATTTAACCTCTAGAAAAATTAAAGCCAATGGTCCTCAGAGATGCTAAACTACAGACTGTAATCTCAGCCACAGTGATGGGCATTGATTTTCATTTCATTCCCTACTTCACCTCCTCTGACACTCACACCCCTATCTCCTTAATACTGTCTTTTTTTTTTTTTTT